ATATATAAAAAAAGTAATTTTCAATAAATAAATTTTTAAAAATAAATATTTTAGTAATAATGTGAAATTATTTTATTACAATTTAAAACATTCAAAATTTTTCAGAGTTGTATATATAAATCACTGCTCTGAAAACTTCTAATGATGCTGAAGTGCCTCCAGAGTTTTATGCTCAAAAATCTTTAGAGATCTTTGTCAAAAAATTTTCTGATGTAATTAATGCTTCATTAATTAAAATACTTTCATTACATGGATTTAAAATCATTTGACATATTGTGATAGCAAATACAACTTGTTTATCAGAGGCTTCCCCTTTTGGTCAGACTTTTTCAAAAATGCATGCTATCATGTTTTGATTTTCCTCTCTAGAACAGACATGAAGATCTTTGAAGCACTCCAGGATTTTTTATGAATTTTTCCAGGCCGTAATTTTTATAATGGTTATATTTGTATTGATTGTATCCAGGGAGTTTTTATCAAAGACTGAAAATATGATATTCCAGATTTTTGAAGCCATAGTCCCTCGAAGCAATCTAAATTGGTGCACAAGCTATTAAATAAATAATATTACTAATAAATTTATTTATATTATTAATAACTGCAATAATTACTGCTTGGTGAATATACTTTTCATAATATATTTTCCAATGTTTTCTTGTAAGGCCTTCGAAGAACTCTAAATGTTCTTGCTAAAAATATTCCTCTATATGCTGGCAAAAATCTTGGGATTAACATATATTTTTTCAAAAAAGACTTCTTTTATAATACTCTTGACCACACGCTATTATAGAATTTAAAATGTTATTGAAATTTTTTGAAGATTAAAAAATTAAACCTTCCCTCAATAAAATTCTATTTGGGGATTAAATATTGACTCGTGTGAATTTAGTTTTCTAGATGGGTAACCTTATCCTTGATGACTTTTTGACATTCTAATAATCAATCAATTTTTTATACTGACTTTTATGGAATTTCAAAAGTCTCTCAATTATTATATTAGAAACTAAATATATAAATTAGTATTTATTTAAATAGATACATCTTTTTTAATATACTTAAAGATTCTTCGGACAACCTTCTAGTAGGCGATGATTCTAGAAAATAACTGAGGGATTTTAATCATTTCTAGGTCAACTCTGTTTCTGTTTCAATATGAGATATTGATCTTCATTCTTCAGTTTAATTCAGGATACTGAAAGTACTCTTGGGCTTTTTTGAGAGCTTCAAAATACTTCCTTATTATTTTTCAGAGCCTGAACCTGAAATCATTTGTTGACGCATTCTTTTTTTTCTATTTATATCATTTTTTTTATCAATTGTTTATTTTTTGCTGAATGTTATATAAGTGACAATATGTTGAATAATTTTTTTTTGAACTAATGAGTCTTTCAGTATATTATCAATTAAACGTATTCCTATCTAAATATGGATATACTTACGTATATGTACAATATATTTCAGATTTAATTCCTTAAAAAAAACTATACCTAGTCTTATGGTTGACATACTTTACTAGTGATCATTGATATTAGCAATTAATAAAAATCTTTCAGATTATTTGACTAACTCATATAACACTACTGATATTTCTTAAACTTGAGTTTCAATTAATATGATAGTGTTAGTTACTCTTTCAGTTTTCCAGCTTGAAATTTTTTAAAGATAGAATAAAAACTTTCTGATTTACTATGTATACAAGCTTTGTTACTAAATGTTTCTGATTATTTCTTGCTTTTTTCAGTTGAACTTTTCTAAATAGTAGTAGCTGAAACCTATCTAACATACAATCAGAAGTAAATGGCTTTGATTTTTAAAAGGCTAATAGAGAATTTTGTGACTTTTATCTTGATTGAATAGACTTTTTCTTATATCCAATAATATATTAGTAACATGTTCTGTATCTATCTGTGTCAAGATATATAACTTATAATTAATTTCAGATTCTTATAGAGCTGAAAAAATATATTTAAACATGTATAATAATCAATAGAAGTTTGTTTACATTCTTTTATTAATATAATTCTACTGAATCAATCAGTTTATAAAAAACTTTATACTATTTAAAATTCAGGATTAAGCTAAAGTAGGTAAAATTCCTCAAAGAAAATTAAAAAGAAGTACTATTAAAGCCTACATAGTGGTGAAAAGAGTGAAAAGTTAGTTTTCACACTACAAGACAACTTGTATTGTTTTTTTGTATGTCAGATAAGTAGTGAAGCATCAGTTCTTTTTCTTTTCAAAACTTTCTTGCCATTAGTAGAAAAGTTATTTTCTAAACTTTGATCACAAAAGTCCAATTTTTGTTTTAAAAAAAGTTATCAGTATAGGAAAAGAGTATAGATAACTCTTGAAATACTCTTCAAGTTGATTTAAAGAGAGTAATAAGATTTTATTAATTAAGAGGTATAATGACTTCTTGTAATAACTTTTTTGTATATGATCAAAGAATTAGTAAAAAGGGTGAATATGGTTTAATTTCTATTAAATTATATAAGAATTTAGAATTTATTATAAGTTATCTATTTATTATAAATAAATATAAAATTACTATTAAAAAAAGGTTGATATTAGATATACTTCTAAAAATAAAAATTTTAATAAATACTAAGTTTTCTTAAATAGATAGGAAAAAAAAATCAAAATAAAAAATAAATAAGTTTTTTGATAATTAAAGAAAAAATATTTTAATAGAACATTTATTATTGAAAAAAAATCTTGAAAAATAGATTTTTGAAAGAAGTCAAATAATTTTATTTTATTTTATTTTTTTTATATTCTTATAATATATTTCTATATTTTTTATGTTTTCTTTCTCTTTTTTTTAACTTATTCTCTTTATAATTTTTTGTATTCCAGTTGCTTAATAGGATATATAATAGTAATAACTTGTTAATGATAATATAATAAACTAAAAAGATATTCATTTAAAGTCCATTATAAATAAAATATTATTCTTAAGATCAAATCTAAAAACGATTATTGCCTATGATAAGTTAATTATATTTGATTAATAATGTTTGACTGTAATATATATCATGCTGCTCGAATAAAAATATACTTATGTTTTTAATTGATTAATAAACTATAATCTAACTTAACTATAAAAATTATAAAAAAAAAATTTAATAAATAAATATTATTATCTATATTGTATTTAAAAAATATTTCGAAAACAAATAGATCATTATATAAAGATTTATCTAAGCAAATAGTAACTTAACAATAAATTATAATAAAAATAAGCCATAATCTAATGTGAATTAAAAAACAAACTTATAATATATTACTTATATAGTAATAATTATAAACAGTCCAAGCTAGATATAAATAAAAATAAGATGTAACTGGATACGTATTATATAAATAAAATTACGAAGTAATTATACGCATCTTATATAAAATTATTAATTAATAACTTCTTACACATGTGCTGCTCATAATATGTTAGAAATATATCTACAGATATACAATATAGATGCAAAAGTTGTTAACACTGCGAGTAATAATGTATAATTTTTATTTTATGAATTTATGAGGAGTAATTGTTACCAATCATCAATTTATTTAGATCTTAGGTCTTGATCATGAAAGTTGAAGTTGCCTCGAGGCAATTTTTTTTTTTTCCTCACCTTTTATAAATGGTTTTCACAATAGAGATTTAATAAAGCGTGCTGTCTTATTGTAAATGGTAATGTCAGATACTCAATAATATATGATATTTATAAAAAATTTACTTGGTAAATAATGTAAGAAGAGGATAACACCACTTTTACTGCGAGATCAAAAAAAAAGGATCAGCGAAATATCCTAAAAAAAAAACAAACGAATATAAAATAGTTATACATACGTAGCCTAGATTAGTCAGATATTCCCCTAATTTTACGACTACTGAGTTTGCTGCACCCGGAGCGATACCCTCAGGGTAAAGGCCAACGATAAGAGCTTGGGTTGTCTTCACTGCAACGACACCCTCCTGACCCTGCACAGGATCAATGGATAATATTTATTACCAATAATTCACAATAATAGTCATCTGCCTTGTTAAATAAACTGACTATTAATCCCAACCTTTTTACCGTGAATATTTGATTCATCATGGCTAAGGGCAAAATATTTTTGGCCGTTGCAGAATATCCCGTTAGCCTGAATTTTTTCAGCATTGTTAAATGCCTCCACGAGAGAAGAAACTTCTTCAGGACTCAGCTAAATTATCAAACCATGAGCCATAAAGAAAAAATTTCCACAATTATTATATTATTATCTGTTATCAAACTTAAAGAGATGATTTATCACAATTCAGACTTACGGAAAACCCTTGAGAAGTGGCCCACAATGAGCCATTATGACCATAAATGGCTGCTTTCGAAATTTTTCCAGTTGCAATAAGCTGGTTATCAACATATTCTTGCCACGACATGTTTATATTTTTTCGAAGAATAGAATGTAAAAGACCTTAATAAAACACTATTAAAGAGATAAAGGGGAAAATTCACAAGGATGTGATTTCGCCTGCTATCAATGGATTCTTTTGTGCAACAATGCACGATCGTTTTGCAAGTGCAATTTACTGTATATAATACTTATCTCAAGTATATACAGTAAAATTATTTTTTCTTTTTAAATATATATTTTTAAAATTATTATGGTTTAAAAGATTCATTTATACAGTATATAATAAAACTTAATTAAATTATTATTTTTTTTTTCAATTCACAATTATATTATTATAAAATTGTTATTTTTTTTTTTTTTTTTTTTAATTAGTCGTACTGACTGAGCTTTTATTGAATGTACTGTATATGAGAGGTACAGCTATTAGATCACAAGAAGCTATACTTATAACTATTTTTAACTATACTATCCAGACTCAATATAATCTGATTTTACCTGTTTCAGAGCAGTATTATCTTGTCAGTTGCCCTGCTGTGCCTGGACTTTTAGTGTTCCAAGAATCTATTAGGGACTACCATTTTTATTAATTCAAGGAGCATTTTGTTGTGTGTTCCTTAGATGTGATTGGTTCTTTTACAGTGGGGGTGTGTTCGAATCTTATATGACATACTTGTCATGTTTGATTTTTCCTTCAAAGGCTAGGTCATTTTGATGCTTCAATCTTTATGCGGTCTAATACAGAATCCCGGCGATTATTGGTGTGTCTTGCGGCAACCTGAGTCTTTCATTGATCATTCTTAACTACTCTTTAAAGATGGTCTATAGGGGTTTTCCTTGGTCAAACGAGATCAATAGATCTCTTCCAAACATGTCTGCTCTTGCGGTTCCCATCATGAGTACTGTGCTTCCTCACAATCCGAGACCAATCCGGTCCCATCCCTCTGATAACTTTCACAGCTGATACAGACGACCGAAGTCTTCCAATATCTCCATGAGTATGGTAATTTGAGAAGAGGTAAATTCTTTCATTAGGCTAATAGGATCTTGAGGTGATTATTGTCATTCCTGGCATTCTTCGGTAGCTTCACATATTTCAGGTGACATGGATGTCATAACTTTATTTGTCCTAGTGCTAAAACCGACTTAAGATCTGTGTGACCTATTTTTAGATACTGTGGTCAGACGGTAATTTGTAATAGATTGGATGTGTGCAGAAACACATGTAGTTGATAAGCATGTATTCTGTACAATATAACTTATTATTATGAATACCGTTCTTGAGTAGGATTGAACCGGTAACTCATGGATGATAATCTGGGAGTGCACTCACTGCATTATTGACCCGCAGGTTCAAAATTGTTATTCAAGAATGAAGAATTTCTTTAAAAAATATATAATAATAATAAAAGTTATAAAATAGTCTTAAGTAAAATTTATATTAAATTATATTAAATTAAATATATTTAAAAACTGAAAAAATTTTTTGTCTTCTATTGTATTTATTAAAGTTTTGTTATTATTTGAAAAACTTAAATAAGAAAAGAGAATTTGTAATTTATATTATTAATTTCTTGATTTTTAAATATTATAAATATCTTTCTTAAAAGATTTAAACTTTGAAAGGATAAATATTTCTATAATATTCTTTTCTATTATTAATAAAGTTATAAAAATATGTAAATATAATTAATAAAAGCTTATTTATATTTTATAAACTAATATATTTGTGTCAATTAATTATTTTTGATAATGATTTATACTATTTGAAATTTAAAATCAAATTAAAACAAATAAAATTTTCAAAAAACCATGAAAGTAATAACTTTAAAAAGGTTTGAACAATAAAAAAAAAAATAAGTCTTTTAATTATAAAAAATCTTTATAACTTTTTTTTTTTTAAACTCTCTGTCAGGCTAGTTATGTGTACTTTATTAAACAATTGTAAGCTGTACATATAGTATAAATCGCTAAAGCTAAAACTTTAACT